TACAATAACTGCCAAGCACAGAGATTGCCACCTTTGGTTATCAAGATGGCCTCATGACAAAGATCAACACTCTAGACACCACCACTGGAAGCCATGGCAGTCCCTTCCTCACCCTGGTTCTCCAGGCTAGTTAGGGAAGTTGACTTTTCTTTCTCCATGTGCCTCCCAGCCTGCCCTTTGACACTGACTCCCAGCCCCAGTCACCTGTTGTTCCTGTCTTGGTCATTAGCACCATTTCTCCAAGTCTCGAGTCTGAACTGAACCTCTGTAATATCACCCAAGCTCACGTACTGTGTGGAACTTTCTGCGAGCTTTGGACTTTGGGATCTGTGTGGTGGGGCAGGGAGTAGAAGCCCTGTTCTGAAACCGAGGCCTCTGGCTGGTGGATGAGTCGGAAGAAGACTGCCTTTGACCGAAGCAGGTCAGGAACTTCTTCATTTCGGAGCTCCCTACCCACCCCCTACATCCCTGCCCTCCCCCCTGTGGGCTTTTGTTCCCCCTCAGGGAAAACACAGTGATACTGATATGAATAAAACAGCAAGTAAGTTTTGCCACCAGCACTCACGACTACGGCAAAGCACCTACAGGCAAGCCCTGTAGGGTAGAATCCCAGTAGCACCGGTATTCCATCCCACCATCACCTAGCAACGCTTCTAAACACAGACAATCCTACCACTGGGACAGCATAAGTCAGACAACTGTGACAGATCAGGCATTCTAACCATGCTTAACTGCCTATGTGCAAAACCTGATCCCTGAACTATCTCAGCCTATTGTAGCCTTCAAACAACAGAGGCACTGAATAGCCAAGCAGCATTTGCTTAGGAACCCTTGAGACTACACAGGTTGAGTCTCCACGTGCACTTTCCTAAAACCTGCCAGTCACATTACCCTTTGCCTGACTTTCCTTCTGAGGCAAATGCCACCTAACCCCCACTGCTATCTACAAGGGTGAGGTGGGGGTGGGGGGTTAGCACCACCAGGCACAGAAGATGACTTTAGTGACTCCAGAAGCAGTGGCAAGAGTTACTTCTTTGTAACTTTCTCAGTGGAAACATGTGCACCAGAGGACATGTGAATCGTTTCATCGAAACGTTTCATCATGGTTGTGCCTGATGACACACAAAGCCATCATGCCCCATGTTGCCTGCCCCATTTTCTGCCCTTTGGCCCAGTTTTGCCTTCCCTATTCCTTGCTGTCAGATGAGTCTCCTTCAGTTAGGAACTGATGTAACATTTTCAACATTTTAATTTTTTAATCCTTTAGCCCTCGTGGGTCCTAGAACTCCTTTTGTTCTTTTGTTAATTATGTCAATTTGAAGTTTGCCTGAACGTGAGCCTAGAAAAGAATCAGTAAACAGTGGTCAGCTTCCATGGTCTCTGCCTGACTTCCTACCGTAAGCTTCCTGTCTTCAGCTCCTGCTTTGGCTTCCGGTATAAACTGAAATGACCCCTTTCCTCCTCCAAGTTAGTTATTGTCATGTTATCAGGTCATTCATTGTCTCTGGAACACCACTGTTGGTGAGATCTGGGGCATTCCTCCTGCTACAAAACATAAATGAAAAGGGAAACTGGAAAAATATCCAAATGTACATAGGATAGGTTATGACAGTAAATTAAAATATTAGGATGCACCCTAGCTGCTACAACATTTAAGAAAGACAGTGCAATATCAGTTGTTTCTGCATAGGAGCCTCGGAATTCACTAGTAACAGATTTTGCCCAAGTTCCCAATGTCAGATATGAATTTTCCCTGGTAGAGTGGACTTCAGACCACATCAGAAAGTTGGCTCTATCTATAACTAACTACTCTGTGTCACTGTTGCATGAGCTGGCAGATCTCTCCTTATACTTCAATTATGAAACATGCAAGATTTGCAACCTACTAGGAATTTTACCTTAACTCTCCTGGGCAGTCTTAGTATCAACTTATGATACACATGAGATAGTTCATAGGGTGGAGACAAGCTTTATTTACCCAAGTCCTGCAACCAAAGCATATGATGCATTCAGCAATAGGATCTTACGATCTAGCTCTGAAAAAAAACACCCAAGAGCAGTGGCATTGACCTTTATACTTTTAGGGTCTTCTGTGACCTCTGATCAAAAGCTTTAAGGAGGTGAGCCACCTAAGCACTGGGAGATGACCCCCTATCACTTGGAGTCTCAACAATCTTAAACCTTCTGGGAGCATCTGTTTGCATTCTTCACAAGATATCTTTGTTCATTCCTTAGCATGTACAGGCCCAAGCTGTTGTAGAATTCTCCCAAACACCTTAGTTGCTATATCACTTGTGCCTTACTCAACCAGAAAGTCCACAGCTACATCTGACCTTTGTATCCTCTGTGAACTAAGCACCCATGCTTGATCTTTCAGGAGCAACACTTAAATGGATTTCCTGGTTTGCAAACACTCAGAAGTTAGCAACTTATCATCTACATAATGAAACCTTTTACAGACACAGGACAGCACAATGTCCTGAACCACCATCCCATAATGAATAGCAAAATTACAAATACACCCTGGGCGAAGGTCTATTGTTACCTGTTCAGACCAAGTTTTAGGCAATCATGTAAGTTCAAAACTAAGAAAAGATGAAAGTCAAACATAAGCAAGGTCTAAATCAGTGTGGAAAGAGTTCTTCCATTTGTATCAGTTGTTTGGCTAACGTAAATGTTGGGTACAGTATTGTTGCTAGGAGATGTTAACATAATTATTTCCTCATGATTATCAGTCATTCCCTTTCATCTATTTCACATCCATATCCTAGAGCTCTTCTGTTCAGCCTCTTATATTTCTCCAGCCAGATGAACACATGAACTCAGTGAGGCTGGCTCAAGCGTCTTCCTCCTTGTCACAGCCCTGAGGTGGGGGAGAGGCAAGAGTGGTGAAGCCACTCTCTTCCTTGCTACAGCTGCTGGTTCCTAGGTCAGAGGTCATCATCTGTTGTGGGCAATTTCCTTTCTGGTCCTGTCTATGTAGAGTTCTGTTGGCCTCTTGTACCTAGATGGGCATCTCTTTCTCTAGGTTTGTGAAGTTTTCTTCTGTGATTCTATAGAAAATGTTCTTTGCTCTGCTCAGAATCTGAACTTTCCATAGTGTCCCAGAGATCTTACATGTTCTTTTCAAGTGTTTTCAATTCATCATTGACATTTACTGAATAATCTGATTGCTCTACCTTGCCTTCAGGCCCAACACTCTTTGCCATCTGATCCATTCTACTGGTGGAGTTTTTACTTGGCTTATTGGATTTTTCATTTCCAGCTTTGTTTAAATTTGGCATTTCTTCAGTAATTCTGTATCCTCATTGAATTCTACTTTCACATTTTTGCATTGACTTTCTTCTTTCATTAAGTTTTTTGTTGTTGTTGGAGTATAATCATGTCCTCTTTGAGTCATTTGTGCATCATCATATTAATTCTTCTGAATTTTTATCTGGCAGTTCTAACAAGTCACTCTCATTGGAGTTTGATGATTATGAGCCTAGTATCTTTAGGAGGAGACATATTCCTTGGATTTTCATGCTGTTCTTCTTCTGTGGAACTTATACATGTGGAGCTAATTGGGTGACAGTGTGGGCCAGTGGTGATTGCTGGCTTATCAGCCCTAGGAGCTAAAGGAGCTGCAGGAATTTGAGCCAGGGCAGGGACTCCTTCTGTTGACCTAGTCCCTACTTTCATCTGAAGATTCTGTCCTTGCCACTGCACAGGTGATTTGGGTTTCAACTTAGTTCTGTCTCTGAACTTGGGGGAACATTTTAGGTTAAAGGCTCTTTTCTTCTGTAATTGGCCAGAAGGGAAATTCATATTCTCGAGAGGCAAAGGAAAATTAATTCATTCTGGAACGCCACCTGACTCTCTGTAGTATGCCCATACATCTTCCTTCTGTATGCTTCTTAGTGTGTGAGTCCAAATAACCTGGCAAGACTTAGGAGTACACGGGTCAAATTAGAACGCCCTCAGAGTTCCCCGAATTAGTTTGTTTGAACACTTGCAATAAGCCAGTTTTAGAGCCAACAAATGAGTGAGCAGCTTGATTTCACCAGGATGCAGAAGCATTCAAACACAGATTGGAAGAGACTGCCTCCAGCGGAACAGTAGCCAAAGTCATCTTTGAAATAACGTGTCTGCTAGAGCTGTCTTCCCCGGGTGCCTTCCATTCTCAGGCGCATGTCCTCCTTCTGGCCTCTGCCTTCCATTCTCAGGCGCATGTCCTCCTTCTGGCCCTGCTCCACTGTTTCTCCTTCTCCTATCCTGCTCTTGCTCTTTCCTTTTCTTCCTCCTCCTCCTCCTCTTCTTCCTGTTCCTCTTTTTCCTCCTCCTCCCACTTCAGATGTTGTATACCCCCACATTTCCAAGCTGCAGGGTTTCAAGGGCCCCTCCTAGACACTCCCTCCCCCCTCATCCGCACTGCTATCTTAGTGGTAGATTCATTAGACACTCAAAATACACACATCCCCTTCTCCTGAAAGGGCATCATTTGTATGAAAAATAAAGCATTTAGAGAAAACAAAAACAACTACAACAACCAAAACACTTGGATTCACATCTTGATAAATTCATTTCTTTTTTTTTTTTTTTTTTTTTTGGTTTTACGAGACAGGGTTTCTCTGTTTTAGAGGCTATCGGTCCAGCCTGGCCTCGAACTCACAGAGATCCGCCTGCCTCTGCCTTCCGAGTGCCGGGATTAAAGGCGTGCGCCACCAACGCCCGGCGATAAATTCATTTCTAAATGAATTTTCACCATTTCCTAAGATTCCCAAATTCTTCATGTTAAAATGGCAAATGGTAAAGAATGGCATCCAGAAACTTAAAGGCAATGAAAATCATCCTATGGCAGCTTCCAATCAATCCTAATGCCCATGTCAAGAATTCTTGGATACTGTGTGCTGAGAGAGAGAGAGAGAGAGAGAGAGAGAGAGAGAGAGAGAGAGAGAGAGAGAGAGAGAGAGAGATCTGCCTGCCTCCTCTGAGAAATTACAGAAAGGGAGAGCAGCAGTAGGGAGAACTTGTCTCTTAAAGGAACATTTGCACCTATGTACTGAGCCAGGGGATGGCTCTGAGAGGTCCCCATGGGGCAGGGTCAAGATGTGCCTGAATGCTAACAATGTCCCTGAACCATATTTAAATCCATGATTATTCTTCTCACACCTGAACTGGTAGATCTGGCTTTATTTTTTAATTTATTTTTGGTTATCAATATTCTCAAAAGATGTAGGTGACTCTCTTCACTGTACATCAAGTACATTAAACTCACATGAGTATAGCCTCTACCTTTCAAGACAATTAGCACTAAAGGACTAAAACCTTTCTGGAGATAAACTGCAACCTTGTCAAACTCACTTAAATACTCAGGGAACCTAATGCCTCCAACCAAAGAGGTAATGGGGATTGATCCTACAGGACTCTACCAAGCAAAAAGGAATGTGTGCTTGGCAAAGACAGGACTGGCCATAAGAAAGATATGCTATCCACAAACTCCCTGATACAACACATCCTCACCCGATCTAAGCATGTTTCAGAAATGCCCACACATGCACAAGGCCCATACTGACAAATAGAACATGTTCACTTTAATATACAGCATCATCAAACACCATGATGCATTCCTATCCTTCCAGCACTATACTCCCTGGCTGACCATTTTGTTTCTGACACAGCTGGCCTCAAACTCTTATGGAACAGAAGGTAACCTTGAACTTCTTCCTGATCCTCCTGCCTCTACTTCCCAAGTGCTGGGATTACAGGTAATGTGTCACCACATCTAGCAAGTGTGGTGGCACATATCTATAACCCTAGACTTAACAGGCAGAAGCAGGCAGATCACAGCAATTTCAAGAGAAGCCTGGTCTACATAGGGAGTTTCAGGACAGCCTAAGCCTGTCTCCAAACAAGACCTGTCTCCAAAACCGATAAATCACCCGTTTTCAGCCTGTGGGTGATGACCCTTTCACAGGGACTGCATATCAGATATCCTGCATGCAGGGAATTTGCACTCTGGTCTTAACAGTAGCAAAATTAGTCATGAAGTAGCAATGAAAATAATTTCTTAGTTGGGGTCATCACAACATGGGAAACTGCATTAAAGGGTTGCAGCATTAGGAAGATTGAGAACCAGTGAGATAAATGAAGAGAGATGACAGATAATGACCTTTTGGAAATTTCTAAAGCAACATAGAGATTTACACTAAGCCATAACGAAAGGGACTCCCAGGACTGGAAGAGAGCATCCCAGGAGGCTGTAATTTTTCCTTTGTAGAAAGATCTATCCATGGCTCGTGGATGGAGAGGAGGGGATGGCACCCAATAAGTCTAGGAGACTCAGTTTGGAGAATCTCCATACTGTTTTCCTCACAGATTCAATAAATCGCTGCTCAGGTCACGTTCTTGTTTACAATTTTATGTCCAGTGCACTATGTAATCAGTCTTCAAGTTCATTATTCAGGTACTTCCTGAGGCTTCACCTTCCTGCCAACCCGGACCTCCATCTCCTTCCACAGGCAAATGGAAAAGGATTGGCACAAATGATTCTTTTGTTCAAAGGA